AACTGAACGGGGCCCCCAATCCTTACTATCGCGCCCTCCCGGGAAATCTCTCCCCTGGGTTTCATTTGCAACACTCCGCCCCCTCATGAAAAAAAAAAAGATCGACGTCACTCGACCACCTCAAAGGAAAAAGAAAACCATACCTCTGCAACCTCTTTCTGAAAGGTCAAGGTAAGCCGGGTCCGACCGTAGACGAAGGGACCATCCCTGTTGGAAATGTTCTCCAGCCACTTGATGATGAGGGGAGTAGAGACGCTGAACGGCAGGTTTCCAATAATGTGCACATCCGGAGGCTCTGTTCACGCAAGGCCAGAAGAAGGGAAAATTCTCTAGACACAGCGGTTGCGGACAAGGACAGCTCCAGACAACGGCTGTTGGAACTGCTCATCAGTGGTGCTCAACGTTTCAGATTATGTTGTGCTAGATTACATAACATGCTTTAGCAGCATCATACCCTACAATGTACGCACAAACAACTTGGGTTTTATATTACCTTATGTGTATATACAAGGAAGCTAGGGTGGCGGGATGAGCCAGCCCTTGAGTTGCAAAATAAACAGAGGTCAATTCCCCACTGAAATAATAACAAGAGAAGGCAATGTTTTGGCTGGGTGTCACGCCACTGAAAAACCAGACACTTTCTTTTCAGCATGGAATCTACCCCTGTGCATTGACGTCTGTACGAGCACAATGGAAGCTCTAACAGGTACAGATATGTGCATTCTGTTATACACACCACTGCTAACATACAGTACATCACAGGATCACTTAGTGAACTTAATTGTGCAGTTTGAGATATTTTGTACTCTTCAGTCAGATGAAGGTGGCTTGAAATTAAGGGGATATACAGGGTGTAAAAACATAAAAGAGCTGTTTTCTCTAATCAGAATTTCTAAACCAGCTAAAGAGAATGTGTGGTAGCATAGTGTTTTGCCAGGGGAATGTATAATGTTAAATTATTGAAGTGTTTCTTTTTTTATTTAGAATTACCATCATCCCATTTTCTAGCCAGTTTTTGGGGAAATCCTCTTTCCATCTTGTAGGTCAGGATGTCCCCATGAACAATTCGCACTTTTCCTGGTGCAGCTTCAGCTAACAGCTGCAGAAAAAAAAAAACCATCAGACACTGAAGGTCTCCACAATCTGCACTGGGCACCTGAAACCTAACAAGAACAAACCTGCGGAAGAAGCAACATGTCTTCATGCACTTAATTGGAAAAGAAAGGACTCTGGAAATTGTATCTCGTTCTCCATTTCGGTTTCTTGTGTGCCAAGAATCTTTTATTGCACCACTATGCTGCTTGAATACAAATTATAAATCTCGCCCACAGTAGTCTTGGCAAGTAACACTCAAAGCACAAAACAGAGAAGAGGATGAGCAATCAGAAGATAAATGTTATGCAACAGAAAAGTACAGAATGTTGTTGTCAAACAGATGCATTAGCATATCAAATCGCTAAACCTGAATCACCACTCTGCAGATGTGCACTTGAAAACACCACATTAATTCCAATTTCCATGCCCAGAGCTCACCTGTCCCACTGGGATCCTCGCAATGCCTTTTCCCTCAGAGGGACTTTTGTCAGCAGGCATTTCTGCACTAACTTTACTGCAACAAACTAGATGTGTTTTTCTGGCAGGGACGACAGCAGCTAAGAAAACCATTTTAAATCGCTGGATGAGAAAGAGCAATCTTGTTCTCTCTCCTGTCTGCCTGGGCTGTTTCAATAACAGCTTAATTTTAGAAGGGCCCATGGCTGAAGCTACAATCCCCATATTCTGCCATGATACTATCCTGGGACGCTAGTGTTGATGAAGAAGCTCTGCTCATGGCTTAATGGTTAGACTATAGAAATTGTCACTGACTACAAGTACTTGGGACTGGTCATAGACAAAAACCTGAGCTGGGACAAATGGTGTGACACCATTTATAAAAAAGGACAAAAGGGACTCTTTTATCTAAGGAAACAAAGCTTTTTCAAGGTAGACAGAATCATCCTAACACTTTTCTACAAGTCTTTTATTAAAAGTGTCCTAACATACTGTCACACTTGCTGGTTTGGTCTCATCAGTACCGCTGATTGTCATTAGCCGAGAAAATAAGTCAAAATAAGTCGTAAATTAATTGGGGGCAAATCAAATCGCCCTAAATGTCCTCTACAAACAGTGGGTGGCAAAGAAAGCAAAGTGTATTATGGATGGCGTCCCCCACCCCCTCCGCTGGGAGTTCACACTTCTCCTGTCTGGGAGACGCCTCTGTGTTCGCAGGTGTGATATTAATAGACACAGGAAATCTTTCAGCCCCACTGCAATATCTCTGTCAAAACAACGTATCGGAACTATCTTCTCCCTCATCTTGCTCCAAAACTGCTGCCGGCTGGCACATTTTGTCTGTCACTGTCCTGTTACGCTGGAAGTGTGCCGTGAAATGAATTTTGCCAAACGGGACAATAAAGCTTGACTTGGAAGTGTTATGCATTTTCTGGTTTGTGGACCTCCGTGGTACCTGGTACTGCACTTTATTTTATCATGGTTTTTTTTGTTTGTTTGTTTGTTTCCTGGGGTCTGAAACTGAAAAGAGACACAACCGTCCACGACAACAAACAGCGCTTACTTGTAGGCCCGGAATGAAACGGGTGTCCTTCTCGACCACAAGCAGATCTGCAGCCCCAGCACTGAGAATGGAGCGCGTGATCCCTCCGGGGCCGGGCCCGACCTCGCACACGTGAGCATTGCTCAGACCGCCAGCCTGGCGCACAATCTTGTCTGCACAGAGGGAGAACGTGTCACAGCTGACCTCACAGGAGCGCTCTCGGACCGCGCGATTCGAACCGTCCTGGATCACAGGAGTGGGTCCGGCAGGTACAACAGGGCAAACTTCTGCACTAAGCAGAATTAAAGAAGCCACATGTAAATACTAGTAAAAAAAAAACATTAATTGTTTAACCTGACAGATGATGAAGCAGACACCACAGACCACACAGGGAGCCATTTTCAGACAAAACAAAAGCAACGTCCTTGGTTTAGTGTCTCATTGAAAAGGATAACATCCTGCATTACAGTATCCCCATACTGGGGCATTGTTTGGAGATTCTGAGTAAGGGAAGGGCGCCACCTAGTGGACCTCCACAGCACTTACAGCAGGATCCTGGTTTACTTGGAGCAGTACTGACCAAACCCGGCCTCACCTAGCTAACGAGAAGTGACGAGTTCAGGCTCGGAGGTGGTGGTGGTGCTGTCAAGTCACAGGCAGACCCCCGTTAGCAAACCATGCGGTTGACTTGCCTGTGAGTCTCATATCCAGCAGGAAGTTCTGGGATAGCTGCTTCTCTGCCCTCAGATTGTACAGCCTGATGATCTCCCCGATGGTAGGGAGAGGGGGCAGCCGGAAAACCGCGAGTTTTCTGGACGCGGTCATTCTTGTGTCCCTGTGAAATAGAAGGAAAATCTCAAAACCCGTAAAACAAGCGGGAGCCGAGTATTCTGCAAGAATTTGTTTTTAAAAAAGCAAGTACATAAGAATAATACAGACCGAGTTACAAGTTCAGCTAAAGTGATTCAGTTTTGGTTACTTAAACACTGGCAAAGATCACCGCATGGAGTCTGAGTTTAATCGGCTGTCTTTTTTCGTCTCGCATCGAAGAAGCATTCGAACGGTTTGTTTTAAAGTGAGAAATGTCAAAAAAACAAAAACAAAATCGACACAAATCTGGAACACGAAATACTGCCCAGCAAGGGGCTGGGATAGAAATTCCGCTGTAAACGATATAAGTCCAAAGTGTCAAAATTAGAGCAATGGAATAAAAAAGGGTGATTTGGTTCTCTTCAAATTGTATTATCGACGTCACAGTCGTCTTAAACAAATGTTTTACCGAGACTAATTTCGCTTCATACCATTCAATAAAATTAAATAAAACACAATTTGTCAAAGCCTGTTACGAAGCGTCACCTCACAACTAGCAGAATTTAGAACATAACACCCCCCGGTAAATACAAATACAAACATATTTTATGGGAAAACCCTTTAACAGTGAGTTTTGGAATAAAGATATCTAGTCACACATAACCTACCTACAGTAGGCAAAGGGGTTGAAAAAGGCTTGTCTCTGGAAAGCAGACTATCCGAAAAAGTACAGAACTATCGCAAATGACCTACATACAGTATTTACAAGTATAATTTCATTTTCACAATCTTTTTTCTTCCACAAGAATTCGTGTTATCTTCTTTTAAATTTTTTTAGAAGCAACTTTAATGTACCTATTTCTTTTTTTTAATCTCAACCACAAGAAATGCCCTTAGAAACACTAATCTGAAAACATGTTGAAAGCTTACTGCACACATGTACCTTAGGAAGGTTGATGTTGTTCCTGGCGCAGAAAGTGACGTCACTTAATTGATGGGAAAAATCCTCCACTCTGAACGCACGTAGCTTCAGCTTCTACCAATCACTTTTTTGTGAAGGCGGGATTTCCGCTTGCAGTAGAAACCCTTGTATTATGCATGTAGTATAACCAGCACACAGATATCGCTAGAGGGAGCCAGTCATCCTCCACTTTCACCGGGTTACTGATGTAGTGGAACGATTTTGAAGTATTGAGCAGAATTTTCCTTTTTATTCAGACGCGTGAATCGAGATTCCTGGGTCCCCAGGCCCACAGTCCAAGGATCTTTTGTTGGTCTCGGCAATCACCGACAGTTTGAAAGACCCGTACAGAAAGGTTAAAGTGAGCAAAGGCCTGCTTAGCCATCATGAACATAAGGGAAGAACATGACACAAGAAATTAAGACTTGGGAAGAAAATCTTTATTAATGATAAATCTTTGCCCTATAATAGAGTAGAGAACGCAGTGTTCAAATCTAATACTGTCCAGTATAACGGATTGTAAGTTAACCACACACAGGTGACTATTTCACTAGTACGGTACATGAATCCCACTGAGAGGTGATGTAAACAGTATTTCCAAGCATTGTTCTACAGTACACTGACACCCACCATTACAGGGCGGTCATTGACATGTGAGTATTGCACAGGTGCTGTTTGTGGTTTTGTTTAGTGGGGGCAGTAGGGTTGGTTAGGCAAGACTATCTTTTCTAAAGGATCTATCTTTTTTTCCTAGGATATAATTTCCACCTAGGTGAACCACTAGTTCAGTTCTTATAAAATTTTCCATGATCTTATACTGTACAGTATGTAACAGAATTCAGACATATTGGTCTATAATTACCTGGTTCCGTTTTTTCAGCCTTTTCATGCACAGGCCCTACATTGGCAATTCACTCCAGTCACTCCAGGCCCTGTTTTCAGAGACCGGGGGAAGAGTTGCATCGCTGACTCTGGATAACATCTCTTGTTTCCTTAAGTAAAATTCTTCTAGTACCCAAACGTCTTCTAGTTCTTTTATCCTGAAACTATCCAGAACATTGTCCTGAGGCAGATTGTCGATTTCCTCCCTAGTAAACACCTGATTGAAGTGCTTGTTTATAACGTCAGTTATTTCCTTTTCATTGTCTGGAGGCTGACTTGTTATCTTGGATATGTTTTACTCTGTCCTTGATGATTGTTGTGTTTGTGTGGTCGTAAAAGCACACCTTATTATGTATTGTGGCTTTCCTTGCAATATTTCTTTCTAGTTCTCTCTTGGATCTTCGAATACCCATTTTTTTAGCCGTGCTTGTATTATGTTTTCTGAGATGGCGATGACTTACATGCAGTTCTCTCATCTATTTTCGTGTCAGGTTGTATTCTTTCCTTTAAATGGATCCTGTTGCTTTTTAATAATTTAATAAGCACTGTCTGTTCCCTTACATTATTCCTCATTGATTTGTTAACCCATTTGGGATACTATTTTTTTTAACCTTTTGCTGTATTTACAGTTGGGATATATTTCTTCCCTGCTTCATGTAGAATGTGTATAAACGGTTGCCATCAGTTTTCTGATTTCATATCCCATTCTGCATCTTTGCATCTTAGCGCTATGCTGTTTAAGTGTAATTAATAATAAAAATATTTTTTTATTATCATTGTTGTTGCAGTTCCATAGTGGTCCTCTCACCTCTGTTTGCCTCATTTTGTCTCGATTGTGTCAAAAGACAAGACTGATAAAAGCTTTTCTCTTGTGTGTGCTCTTGATGAACATTTCCATCACCATTGCAGTTTCTGATATTCCTATGGGTCTTTCTGAGACTGCTGGGGGAAATTTTAAGTCTCCCTTAATTTCATTATACTGTGCTGAATTATAATCAACGTCTGTATTTGGTGGTCTTCAGCACGGCTGTTTTAATTAGTCTAACCATCACACAACAAACCAGTCCATTGAAAAAAAATGATTTTACCAGCAGATTAATAATACCACAAAAACAATTATGTCAAAACAAGGAAGGGATGGGTGTTGCTGATTTTTCAGATTACCGCTATTTTTGTTTTCAATGCACAAAGACAAAACAATGATTTACAACGCCTTGCCAAAAGTATTCAGACCTTTGCAAAATTGTCACATTTGGTTGCTTTAAAGCTTCAAAGCTTGGCAAAAATATTTAGCATTCAGCGACAGAATGATCCAAAAGCACAAGGCCAAGGTACCCTGGAGTGGCTTAAAAATATGAAAATGATTGTTCTTGAGTGGCCGAATCTGTGGAAAGATTTGAAAACTGCTGTCAATAAGTGATCCCCAAACAAAGTGAGAGAGCTTGAGCAAATCTGCTAATAAGAATGAGCTAAAATTGGCACCAGACCGGTGTGCAAAATTGGTGGAGATGAACCAAAATCAACTCATGCCTGTAACTGCTGCCAAACGTGCCTCCATCAAATACTGCATACTTATGCAATCAACAGGTTTCATTTGTTTCTCTTTAGTTTTTGCTTACATTTACTGCAACTTAATTTTACCCTCAGAAGGCTTATCAGTCTTTAGCTCGAACTTTCAGGTTTTGAATAAATATGAAGTTTAAAATAAATGTGTAGGGAAAAAAATAATAAAAAATGTGTCTGCCTCACATTGTAATCTCATAAAACGGGGTACCCAAGGAAGCATCTGAATACTATTGTAGGGCAGTGCATGCTTTGATATATTTTGTGTGTGTGTAGAGGTCAGATCAGAAGACGTCACCAACCTAAACCTGTGCTGACACAGGCCCAGTGTACTCCTGCCTGGCCTGCTCACAACCTCCGCGAAGGAGATCAGCCCCACAGTACCTGCCTGCTGGACTCTCCACGGAGAGGAGAGCAGGCTTGCAGAGCATTCCTTTTGAACATCTGCATTTGTGCGGGGGATTGTATACAAGAGAGATGTGAACTGAACTCATGAAATGCAAGAGAAAAATAAACCATTTCACGCATTTTAATCAAATATAATGGAGAAAGAAAAAAACAATGCAAGAACTCTTTACAAGCTCATTCAAATGATACGTTCTTCTATCTTGCTCCTTGTGTTTCGTACTGGCTGGATTCCAAAGGTCGCAAGGCCTGAGATACTAATCTGAAAATATTTTAAATACACAATTACTATTTTCACAAGCTTATATAAAGTGATGCAAAACAGCGTATTTATTTTCTTTTTTTTTCTTGGTTTTTGCTCATTAGATTCAACAAATATGAGAGTCACGGAAAGCAGCATCCTCCTGCATCTCAAAACCTGTCGGCAACCTATTTTTCAGGAGTGTTAGGATTTCCTCTAAAAAATGACAGCAACTTTCGAAACTGATGTCCCTGCCTCTTCGTCTGGAGCACGAGCAAAGACATGCTAATAAATTCTTTATGGATGGCAATGAGCAGCTCAAAGAGGAATTACAGCAGTTGCTCGGGGGGGGATATTGAGTTCTTTTATTATATGCTTTTTTTAGGCAACGGGATGTGGGCTCTAATAAAAAACAGAATGCGATTTCCACCGCCATGGCAGTAACACGCAGAGAACAAGCAAAGAGAAGAAAACAGCTTTCTCCCTGAGCTGCACAGCAACAAATTGATCTTGTTTTCTCCTGGTCAGGCCCTGTGCACGTGTGAGTTAGAGGGGAACCCCAGTCCCAATTTCTCAGACTGGTTATTACAACTCGGGTACAAAAAAAAATTCATTCATGTTATTAGAAGAAATTTACCCATTCCACAATAAGCACAAAATCGTGAACTCTGGGAAAGTACCGTTAGTCGCCATGTTGTCGCCAACTCGTGTTCGAGTTCCCACGAATTGTGACGTGAAGCAGCCCTTCCTGCTCACTAGTCACCGTAATGACTAATGGAATTTGATGTAAGAGCAAATACGGGTCGCGCAGCAGATATTTCACCATAGGAAGTTTCCAATGGGATCTGCGGGCAACGAGTTAACAAGTAAGTTCTATTTATCAGCAAAACCATCTGGAAGTCGAGAGCAATGTTCCTATTGGATTGAAAGAGTTGTATTCATAAGCCTGCTCACCTCACCGTACGTTTTGTTGCCTCCTTCTGAATCGCAGGACGGCGCTGCGCATATCTGGGAATTTCATCTATTTTGTGACGTGAATTGGAGGTTTTACAAGTTACTGTGTACATTTCACTTTTACATTTCACTGTGGTTTTAAATGCACTCGGCACTGCTGACTCTTTCTCACCCCGAAGTCTAAAAATGGCCTTGCAGTTCCCCATTAATTTGAGGGTTTGCGCTGTCTTCTCCAGGGACCCGCGCACCCGCCGGAGGGGTAATACCGTCGCTCAGTCGGGAGCACAAGGCCTGCACCAGCCGGCTGGCTAGTACCTCTCCTTGTTGAAGTGGAAGTGCACGCCCC